AATGACCTGAGCTGAGGAAGAAATATTTTTTTCCTGAACTTTTTCACTTCAGAGTCCAAGGAGACAGCTGGATCTGTCCTGGCCCTTTCTCCTGAGAAGAAGGGTTTTGGATAGAATCTAGTTGTAAGAAACTGAACCCAGAATTGAAATGCAGGTTCTGAAAAGCCCATCTGTCCCTGCTGACTGTTTTCCTAGATACCCTTGAGTTAGAAGTGATAACACTCTAGCTGTCTCAAATCTAGCTCCTTCGTATCCTTAAAAACAACAACAAAACAGCCAGGTTTGGGTTTGAGGACAGAAAAACAACTGCAACCATGAATTGCTGTGTTGTATCATGGTATTGCCCTGGTGACACTTGCTTCCAACCGCAGGAGAAAATGTAAGAAGGAGGTCCTGCTCTGTGTAGATATATTTAGATTCTAGTTTTCCATCTAAGCACAACTGTGATGTACATGTATATGCATAGATCTTTCTCCTGCGGACTCTGTTCTGCAAAGGGAGGGTTTGTGTAAGTTCTGTGTGCTCTCTTGTTGTACTGAAATTGAAACTATTTTTCCCAGGCTGGCACTTTTTTTTTTTTTTTTTTTTTTTTTTTTTTTTTCCCAAGGTTCTTAAGGGATTTGGGGCCAGAGGATAGTCGTCATCTTCCAGACCAGGGGAATGTAATAGCCACCACTGGAAGGGTATCAGTAATGTTTTAACTTTCCCAACACCCACAAAACTTTGAAGCAGATGTTAATTGCTAAGTGGTATAGCACAAAAGTGGAAAATAACTTCACTTCTGCTTTAGTTTTTGCTGATTGCCTGTCAGTGATTTTGCTGCTGCTTTGGATGTCTGAATATTAAAATTACCTTGAAAGGCACACAGTGTCTTATCTACCTAACTGTTCTTGAATGATGATCTGGTATTTGTAATGGCAAGAAGCCAAATTTTTTAGACTTGATTTCATCTCTGCTCTCTATTGCTGCAAACAGTAAGCAGTTCTGAGGAGGTGTCATGTTTCTGAACCTTGAGGAAGCAGCTAAAGAATCAGATCCTGCACTGTTCTTTTGAATAGACAAAAGTCAAGTTCAACTTGTCATCTTTGTAGGGTAGGTTCAACTGAGGCAACCTCAACCTGAAGATGTGACTTGGAAAAGGAAGCTGCCCTGGAGCCTAACTATTTGCAGTCCAGTGTCTTTCATTTAGTACTGGCTATTTCTGCTGGCTTCTGGAAAAGCTGTGAGCTTCCTGTCACAGGCAAGAGCCAGACATACTGATAAGAGAAGCTTGTACATCTAAGCACCAGTAGATTATCTGAAATTTAAAGAAGTGATGTCTGATATTCACTACTTCTTCTTTCTCTTCCTGCTGCTGCCCTCCACTAAAAACTCAAGGATTTCTGATTTACATTGAGACCAGACTCATAATGTAAATAGGGCAAGATATTTTTTTTTTTTTTTCCCTGTGGATTGCATTAGATACACTTATGCTACAGAGCTTCAAAACAGGAACAAAAAGCCTAAACCTTTGATTTTTCAATATGAGTCTGCACCTTCTAGAGCTAGTTTGTCAAGTTTAGCTGGCATAGAAATCCTAGGTCAGCAGGAGAGGAAAAAAAAAAAAGCAGTGTAATGTCTTTCTGCTGCTTAGTTTCTGCAAGTACTTAATCTTTTAGGCATCTGCATTTGTAGACATTATATTTTAGAAGTATTTCCTCATGTGTGATTTCTGTGCTTTAGCCCCCTTCTCCCCCAAACCCAAGAGAAATGGTATGTATCACTTCTGTAGCAATGCAGCCGAGGAGTGCTATGCTGCTCTGAGAGCATGTAGAGCTCTGTTATAAATTCTGGCAGTAGCTACATCAGCAAAATGTGTTTTAAAACACTTCATTAATAATAGCTGGTGTCTTTAAACCTTAGGTTAGTCAATTATGCTTGACATAGTAGTTGAATATCATTAAGTGATTTTAGAGAATCAATCATCTAAGGAGAGAGGAGAGAGAATGAGTTTAATTTTTTTGTAAGTAATTACCCTGTTTAAAGAAAAAAAAAAGATATGAGAAGGAGAGGTGGGATGGACTGAGAGCTTTCAATCCACTGCTGTAAATCGATGGTAACTTTAAAGAAGCTGGAGTTGTAGTTTTATAGCTAAAACTTGTGGGCTAAAAATTCTGCTCTCAAAACCCATTTCAGCACTGTGGCTAGCTCTGTTTCATTTGAGAATAAAACATTTCAGTCCCCTTCACATGAATTTAGCTGTCTGGTGGATCTGCTCAGTGTGGGTTTCTGTGGTGTCCCTAACCACATGCATCCCCTTTGTGTTTTCTCCTGTAGAAGCAGGGCAAACTTACTTGGTGACATCAGAAATAAGAACCACCTGCCATCTTTCTACCCCCCTCCCCCCCCCCCACAAAAAAAAGCAACACATATTGCTTCTCTGCAGCCTAGTACCATTAAATAAAATAGGAAGCAATTATACATCTTGGGGGGCAGCTTGTCTCAGTAACAAAAACAATATTGTAACACTTGGTGACCCCAAGCCTGTAATTTATTAGTGCGTAAAGGTGGGTACAACAAGTGGAAAGCAATTTCTGTCCCACATCACACCTGTGATGGTGCTGACCCCTCTGGTCATGTGTCAATGGGCACCACGGGGCATTGCTCTGCTTGCCTGGCTGGCACGCAAGGTCACAGCTGCAGACCCAGCCCCAACACCTTCCACTGCAACACAGACTTTCATAGTGTCAGGCACCTTGGTCAGTGATCCCCTGCAATCTGGCTCCCTGTCCCAAATGTGTTACAGTAGGAGTGTTTTTTGTAACAGGTGCCTAAATTCATCTATTGTTTCCCAGCATATACTGTATTATCAAGAGACTGGCAGATGCAGTATACATCTCATTTATTTGGGTGGTGCATTTGGGTAGACTTCCCACTATAACCCTTATATCTACAAAAATTTGAATGCAAATTATGGCTTTTTTTCTTTCTACTTGCTGACATTCCAGGCACAGTTTTTGCAGGAAAGCTTTCAGAGCAGGCAGGCCATCTGTGGGAATGGGAATCAGCTGCTGAGACAAGAGTGGGCAGAGAATTTAATATGATGCTCATTTTCTCAGGACTAAATCAACAGCTGTCTCTCCTTTACTTTTGAAGCTTGCCTAATGACTTTGTGAATCTAGCTTTTTCTTTTTTTACCCCTCTCTTCTGTGGGTGCTTTCTAAGATAGGCTAAACAGTTTCCCTGTACACCCTTTGTCAGATGACTTTGCATCTTTTTAAATAATGACCTCGGTTTTTGAGGGACCAAGGATAAAACCATGGTGCAAGGATAGCAAGTTTCTCTAAAATAAATTGAATCCATATAAAATTACTGATGGATGTGGTATTTGCTGGCAAGAGATACACGAGTTTGTATTCTGGTTTATACTGAAACATGACTAATGTTTCCAAGAGCACTAAGAATAAGCACTGATGTTCAAAATTGGATTTGTATTTCATAAGTGCTTCTTGCCTCTACTTCAGATTTTGAAGTTGTCCAAGTTTTAGTGGACTGTTTTTTGGGTGAGACCATTTTTCATTCTCCTGTTTAGCAAGTGATGCACACATTTTATTCAGCATTTTGTTTGAGAACTTAATCCTCCGTCCTCCCCCAGCAGTTGCTATTTTTCTATTCTTAGCCTTGTATGTTTGTTGCCTTGGAGTAGTTATTTGTCTTATAGTGCTGCATATTTGTGCTGGAAACTGTACTGGGGAAAGAGATGGTGTGCTGACACCATTCCGATGTGATCCCTGTAGTGCTATGTGGTGGAAGGACACGCATGCAGCTTAGGCTGGAAGAGTGCCAAAAGCAGTGTCCTTTCTGCGTATCGATTAGCAAGGGGAATAGACAGATATCAAGTGTTTGAAACAGGCATGCTATTTTTTTCCTTGAGATGGGATTTGTTTTACATAAAAGCTGAAATTATTTTTAAGTTCTACAAAAGACATCAAATCTTATTACCTGTTACCTTTCTGGTGTACTCTTGCTTTGCGTGTATGAACTTTAAAACAGCTTGAGCTGATATTTGACTCCTGGATCCTTGCTTTGTCTTATGTTTACAGACAGAGGTTAAGATCTTTGGTCTATAAAGCCTTCCCTGGCGAGAGGAGTTAACTGCATCCCTGTAAAGCCTTAAAAATTCACTTGGCAGTGTGTTTTCCATCCAGGTCATTCAGAGGAGAGGAGACTACTTAAAATGTACTGCCACTCGCCAGGGGATTTCACAGGGATGCTAAGCATGCTTTACAGAGCTTGTCTTTGAACCACAGGTGTTTGGTATGTGGCCTGTGTTATGGCAGGTCAGAGCCACGGGGATTTTTGAGTCTTCTGTTGCTGAGAATTAATGACATAATGCCTGATTTTTAAATGGGTGGAATTTATGGTTTTGTCTGGGAAGGGGACAGGGCAAGGCAACTGCCCATGTGAGAGCATGGTGTGCCAAGGGTGGTATAAAAGGGAACTCATGAACCCGATGGAGCATTTTACTTGTTGGTGAGACCTGGGAGTTTAATTTTTGGAGAGTACCAGGCCCTCACTGCAAGAGAAGGTAGCATCCTCTCTTTGTAGAGGTAACTATTGCTTTCCTCTGCTATTTGTGTGCTCCACCAGTGCTTGGCCACACAGGACGTGCCCAATTTTGTGATCGCCATTGTCTGATTAGACTGGACAAAAATCACTATAGAGTAAGGTTGCCTTTCTGTAACAACCTGCAGACAGGTTCTGCTCCTTGCTCACTCTGCAGCTCCCTCCAGGGGGGCCAGGTATGTTCCCTATACCTCCTCAGAGGCTTTGGGAAGTGTCAGACTCAATGAGTATCTAAATACATGTATTATTAAAATGTAGAATTATATTGGAAGTGTCATCTGTTGAGATGGCTTTTTTTTTTTTTTTTGAACTCTATTTGAGCCACTGGAAAGTCTATGGTTATTTCTGGTGGAGTCTTGCATAATGTCTGTTTCACACAATGCTTTTATCTCTAGATAACCTGTGCCGCTGTGGCTACTTCCCTATCCCGTGATGAACTGCAGTCCTCAGTAAAGGAAAACATCCCGACAGTTTGTATTCTGGGCCACTGGCTTTATATTACTATTCATGTCCTAGAACAGTTTTTTGTGAGAATTGTGAAAGAAATGTGATGAAAACTGTGTTCTAGTGACTGTCTGTGGTGGTAAACCAGGGCTGAAGTCTGGGCTCATTCAGCACGGAAAAAGGATGGCCTTGTGAGGACCTAACAGCAGCCTGTCCACATATATCAAGCAGATGGGTCCCAGCTGTTCATAGCAGGAGGATGAGAGATGGGCAGAATCTGAAATGAGAGGTTCAGATGGGATATAAGGAAAAATTACCCTCTGCCGTGAGGACCATCGGGCAGCTATGCAAGCTTCAGCCTTGGAGGACTTCAAGACCGGACTGGATCAAGCCCTGAGCAACCTAGTTGGATACTGTGACTGACCCTGCACTGAGCTGGATTTATGCTAGAGGCCTCCTGAGGTCCCTTACAAGCTGAATTCCCTTGTCATCTTATTAGTCACAGGCCTTCCTCTGAGGACAACATGAGGCACCTAGCTTGCTAGCCTGTGGGGTTTGGTTTCCATGGTTTGTGAGGGGGAGTCCATGTGGCTCCCTTTGGGAAATCAGACTGCCTAGACCATGTAGTGCGGCCTCCCAGTGGGATGCAGCCCATCGTGCCACCAGTGTGGGGTTGGGCAGCAGCAGGGCGGCCATGTTGCTGCGCTGCCACCTGAGGAGGCCTGACGTGGCCTGGGGAGGTGAGCCCCTGGAAGGCAGCTGGGGGCAGCTGGTTACAGGAGGGTGCTTAGAAATAAATGTAGAGGTGTGTGGTAACATCTGTACCTGTCTAGTTTTGTGGTCTATGTCGTGTTGTTGATATCGACCCTGAAACATATATTCTGCTTCCCGCTTAATTACATGTCACTAATAAATCAGTAAGCCCCTTTGATCCCGCTGTGATTTAATCGTGTGAGCTGAGCAGGTTTTATCTTTTTCCCAAGACAGTCACTTTCTTCTTGATTGCTGCATTTCGACCAGTTTGGTCGCATCAGTGTCAGAGCATTTTGTTGGTTCTCATATGGTTTTCTTCAGTGAGCACCCCCAAAACAGTTGAAGGATGACAAATTCTGGAGGATAAGCTAGACTATTGATCCTTTAAAGAAGTGAACAAATTTGCCATATGGGAAGAGCAAGTATCTGCAAGCAAAAACCCCCTTTATTCTATGTCGTGTCCTTGTAGGAGAGGGTCTTTCCACTGTTTTCTCTCTGTCCAATTACTTGGTAGTGACTGTTCAGCACTGCAGATGTTACAGCATGAAGATGCAAGGGGACTGGACTTTCTGTCTGCTCCTTGCAGAACTCTTCCAGTCTAGATTAATACAGTAGCGTCCAAGTGAATGAGTCTGACTTTCTCCCTTTTCTTCCTGTGTCATCTGTGCTCTGGGAAAGTTTAATGCACCTCTTTACCTGATCCATTTGCAAGTAAAGAGGCAGCCTTCTTCTGTAGTGACCAGCTGCATCTTTTTAGGGGAGTATGACATGGACTAAATTAAAAGTATAAATCATATGCCATCTGTCAGTGCTATTTCATTTTTTCTCTCTGAAATATATTTTTCTCAAATCATTTTTTGCCATGTAGGGAGAGGAGAGAAAAAACCTGACCTACTTTTAGAGGAATTGTGGAATGAACAAACTTGTTTATGTAGATGTCCCCCCTCATAAACAAGCAAATGTTGAAAAGCTGATTTTGCTCTTGTTCTTCCTAAGCTGTGTTTTTTCTGAGCTATTTCTAATTCTTCCACTGTAATTTTTATGTGGCATTGTTTCTATTGATTAGCACAATATGGCTTTACAGCTTCCAAAGTAACCAGACTTCTGCTGCAATCTGAAATGACTGATTTGTAGATGAAGCATAAACTAGAATCTTTTTCTATCACAAAGTCTTTGCAGTGTTGCAGGAGGAGCATTTGTTCTTCTGTGAGCTGTGGTTTTATATGGATATGCTGTTCTATACTTGTACTCAGAGTAATTCTTCAGTGTGTCAGAATTAACCTCATCTTTGGAATGGTGTGCTGAGGCATATTCAGCAGTTACAGCACTTGCAAAATACTCTGATTCCAATGAAATGAGTAACATAACTTCCAGTTAATCAAATTACTCTTTAAGTTTTAGCCCCCGTTAAGAGGCTTGTATAAATATCATTTACTTAAAGTGTTATATTGCTCTATTTTATGGTTTCTTATTCTTAGATGAAATCAAAGAAAAAAGACTTTTTTTTTTTTTTTTTTTTTTTTTCTTTTTAATGGTTGTTGACTTAAAGGTTTGAAAATTATGACTCTGGAGTTCACTTCTTTTTAGAACAGATTTGTGATTTTTGTGACTTCTGATTTCTTCACCCTTAGGGCTTTGACTTTTCCAGCTGTCTATAACAGAGGGCTAAAACCATTTAAATACTGAAACAGATTCTCACATAGCTATGTCAGTCAGCACCTGAGGATGAAGAGAAATGCCAAATTTTGCAAGTCTTTCAGTGAGAGTCTGAGCTGGTAGCGTTCTGTTCAGTGTAGATCATTTGTGCCAGCCTATTTAGCCTGAGGGTTGAACATATTATTTCAAAAAGGACACAGGGCTCAAAATCAATACCTTGGGGCCAACCTGCTGCCCTGCTATGCTCCCTGGGCTTGATCCTCCTCCCATTCAAGCTGCTGAGAAAATTCCCAGTGACTAGAATAGTGTGAGATCAAACCTTTTATGTGCAGTTCTTTCTCATTCTTGTGTAGAATTTTGCTGAAACGGATTGCTGTATCTAGCCTTTTTGAAGTTTCAAAAAGGTTTTTTTCTTTTTTTTTTTTTATATTCCATCAAGTATGGGTTAGCATGATTTCTTAGACTCAAATATGTCAAAAGGGATTAACTTCTCCTCTGACAGTGGAATCCAAGAAATCTATTCTGAATGCACGAAGGACTATCACTTGTCATAAGAGGGGTAAAACTACCCACAAAGTTTCCTTTAGCATAGACCACAGCTTTAGTGTCAGAATGTTTCATATCGGCTCCTGTAAAATGTCCTTGGAGAAACTATAGCACGTAGTCTGTCCTGGTGTTGTGAGTACACAAATCTGTATGCCAGTGATGGCAGGAGTAATAAATTATGGGAATCATTTAGTGCTCTGCAATAGTCAATCGTAATTTAGTTTAATAGGAGGAGGAAAATATTTTATTACCATGAAACGGCTTGCTTGGTACCTTTGTCTATTCATGTGAGAAGATGCAATCTGGATCATTGTACGCATGTAGACGGAACAGCACTTACCAAAACACCAGCACTTGTGAATGGTAGTTGATGTAGATTGCTCTGGAAGCTTGCTGCCTGCCAAACTGGCATGTACGTGGCAGATTTTGCTGAGCTGTTCTGTTCTTTCTGTTTGAAACTCTTGTGAACTACATAAGGAATGAAGCTCAGCTCTTGATAGGTGGTGGAGTGGAAGATCCAATTCTGAAACTGCCTGTGTGATAAATGTTGGCATACTCCTCCTGTCTAGGTGAAGACTGCAGCGATTTTATTCATGCCTTTCAACTAACATTTGTGTTAAAACAAGATGTTGTGCCCTTGATTTCCTCCACGTTCATCCATTCCCTGGCAATGTTTGTATTTCTATCTCTGTCTTAGAGCATTTCTTTAATACCCTTCTGTAACGCTCATCTATTCTTTCAGAGTGAACAGAATAAAATTCCTTAATGCTTGGGTTAATTAAATCACTGGCCAATTTTCTGCATGATAATGGAGTAGTCCTTACATCATAGTTTTCAAATGCCAGTGTCTGCTGCTGGGGCTTATATAGCCAAACCATTTCTTGATACATAAAAAGCCTTCTGGGATGCAGTGAACTTTGCATTTGTAAATTGAAAAGGTTTTGGATTTGCATAGAACATCTTGCAAATAGTCTTCTATTCAAAATTGTTTGGAGACTAAGCAAACAATGAAAGGTGTTTGTATTAACATAGCTCAAACTGGACCAAATTCCTTCATCACCTTATTTAGGACTTTTAGTGAAAAGAAAAAAGTTCTTTGGACTACACATGCTATTCAGAAACATCTCATCTATGAAAAGAGAGGCTAGGTTCAACTGACTTTCCAGTACTAGCTCATGGGATGTTACTAGATAACCCTTATGCTTCATTTCATTTGTCCATAAACAAAGTGCTGAAAATATTTTCAAAAGATGTTTAGGGAATGTGTATCTCTCTTTCAGATAGAAGGTGATGAGGAAAAATATGAACACAAAATCAACAAGACATCTTGACTGAGAGGGGATCTTATCAATGTTTACAAATAACGTTAAGTGTGGGAGACAGAGGGATTTAGCCAACCTCTTTTCAGTGGTTTATGGGGACAGAACAAGGGGCAATGGCCACAAAATGGAGCACAGGAAGTTCCGCACAAACATGTGAAAGAACTTCTTCACGGTGAGGGTGATGGAGTGCTGGAACAGGCTGCAGCAGGGAGTTTGTGGAGTCTCCTTGTCTGGAGATATTCAAGGCCCATCTGGACAGCCTACCTGGGCAACTTGCTCTAGGGAACCTGCTTTGGCAGGGAGCTTGGACCCAATGATCTCTTGAGGTCACTTCCAACCCCTACAATTCTGTGATCTCCTTTGCACTGCTTTTACTTTCGTCGTGTGGATGTTCAGTAAAGGGTGCGCATTCGGGCTGGTGTACCTGACCATACCATGCTGCCCTTCTACACTGTCTTCTTCATTGTCCAAGGAGCAGCACTGCCTAAGCATTGTAGTGTCTATTTTAATTCCTGAGCTAAACTGTTACTTGCTTTTGGCTGCAGAGCTTTTAGTACGGGGGTGCTATAGTCACAGTTAACAGGAAGAGTTTTCCACTGGCAGTTTGGCGATTTCCCATGTCCCTGCATCCTGATATCTTTGCATGATTACTCCTTCCTCCTCCGTACATTCTGCTTAGAAGTGCTTTTATTATTTGTCTCAATCCTTCGCTTTTCTTCCATGTTATTGCAGACTGCCAACATGTAGCATGCTGCCAAATGAGCTAGCTGCAAAAAGAAGCATATGGAAAGCCTTGTGAAAACAGAGGGAATAATCTCAAGACTACAGTTTTAACAACTGTACTAACAGTATGTACTGCTACAAAGCTTTTGTGAAGTAGCTGTCTTCACCAGGGGGAGATCAGCCTTGGCTCTAGTGCTAGGAATAAATGAAATTCTTTGAGCAGTGTGACCAGGGTCTTAGCATGCAGAAGGTCCTGTCTTGCTCTGTTGTTTAGCTGAACTCAGCAAAATGCCTGCCTACAACTCACACCCAGAAAACAGCTTGCTTTACACGTGGAAGGAATTTGAAGAATGTCTTATCAGAGCTTTTAAAATTGCAGTCCTATCTAATTGCTGCCCTATCTACTTAGCAATGTGTTTCAGAAAATGTCCTTGGGAAATTCAGGTGATGTATCTTGAGATAAAACCAAAGTGATCCCTGTTAAACAGAGGAATAAGAAAATGTAAAGACTGTTGCAAAGTTCTGATAGCTTTTTTGGGGGGGAGGGGTGAGGGGAGATGAATGTGGTTTGGTGAGGCGATAAGTACTGCACTCACTGTTTTAGAAAGTCAGGCGTTCTGTAGGGTGTAGTAGGCTGCTTAAATCATTCTGTTAGTCAAACTTAGTGACTTCAAGTTTCTTTTTTCTCTTCAGCTGCTATGGTCATCTAGGGATACTCAGGAAGTGTTGAGAACGTGACAGATTTTGTAGGTTCTGTTGTCACTTTTTCATTTTGTTTTCAAATTGGAACTGCAATGACTGGGATATGAATTTTCCAAAGCTGCTTCAAAAATGTCTTTTCCATGACTACATCAATAGAAAGTGTTGCTTATCAATATCTGTGCCTCAAATATTTGATTACATGTTGATAGTGAAACGTTGGTTCTGTTTTTTCTCCAACTATATGGCTTGTTTGACAGCTAGTATTTTCTATGGATACATTTACCTACTACATATATTCTGTCTGAAAGCTCAGTGCATTGGAAACTGCCCAAGGCTGTTCAATGGTCATTGCTTTTCAAATAGTATATAAATTATAAATAGTTTTTACTGTCAAGGAGATCAGACACTGGAGCAGGTACCCAAATATATTTGAAA